CGATGGTGGAGTAGCTGGCCTCTCCGACGCCCACCAGGCCCCGGGTCAGCAGGAGGGCCCAGAAGTGCTGCAGGGCCAGAAGAGGAGGGGGAGGATTAGTTTGGGATTTTAAGGTGAAAAACTTAAAGTGAAAAAAACTGGTTAGCTGTCACATTGGTGCCTCTATTTAGGGCTGATCAGAGGGCATGTTTTTACATTTTAAAAACTGTATTTATTATGTTTGACTTATTTGTTATCTTTATATATTTATGATATAATTCTGGCCTTTTTTCCATCCCATAGAAACTGTTTGACTATTGCATCATACCTTTTGAAAATGGCAGGTGGTATTTTGATTGGCAGCATCATAACTATATAATTAAAGGGGACCTATCATGTCTTTTATACATAAAGATGTGTCCCCGTTGTGTCAGGGAACTCACGTAGCGTCAGAAAATAAACCCTCTCTCTTTTCCTCCGTACCCAAATCTTTAAAAAAAACGGGGCTACAACGAGCGGATACAGATTTGCTGCCGATATGACGTCAAATCGGCAGCGGACCCACAGAAAGTTGCTATCAGAAACAATGCCGGACGTGTTTTGGACGTAATCTCGTCTTTGTTTACATTAGCAAGCCTGCTAACACTCAGAGCTAACCATAGACTGTATATATAAATGGACGTACAGTGTTTCCCCTAGGATGGAGTCATAGCAGCGGTGCTAAGGCACGTGGGCCCAGCATAATGTGAGCGCAGAGCACGTGGAATTTTTTTGTGTGTGCACGTGCGAAGTGCACCCCGCCAATTTGTTTCTGTGTCTGCCAGCACAAGGAAGGCTCTTGAGGCCTAGTACCTAGCCAATTTGCTGCCCTAGGCGAGATTTTATAAAGAATAAATGAAAAATCTCTACAAAAGACAAATACACTACAAAAACAGAATTTTAAAGTAAAATGCTTCAATCTGGTGCACTTTGAGCACACAATTACTAGAGACCTGGGGCCTCATTTATAACGCCTGGCGTTGGATTCACGTGGGAAGGTTGCTTACGTAGTACAAAGCAAAAAAATAGGTACAGAAATGTTCCGACATTTTCCGATTCACCAAACATTGCATTTCCATTTATAAATCACAATCGACTCGAAATGCGGTGCAGCTTTTGCGGGCTTCACGTAACGCCCATATTTGCCTATAAATAGTCAAAGAAACGCCCATTCATTCTGACTGACTTTATGAAGAAGATCGCAGGAAATGACGACAGAACAGCTAAAAAAGACATCTCACATTGTGTAAGATTTTGGTTATTTTGGGAAGGTGGCGATAAATCATATTGTTTGGTGGATGCAGTTTGAACCAGAGTAGCAGCATGGAGGTCGGATCGTCACCAAAATAAATAAATAAGTGGTCCGAAAAAGTTTAATGACAACAAACATACACATAGCCTTCCTCAGGCAGTGTGTTTGTGTTGACACCCCCTTGATGAGAAAACTGTAAGAAATGATCGGGGAATCCCTCTGGAGTGGAGTCATTACGACTGGATCTGAATTATGTTTTTGTATTTGGTGGTTTGTGTTCCAGCTTTCGTTCAGCAACTATATATCCATAATCCACCAGTTAAAGGAAATACAACTAATGTGTTGTGTTATATTAGCTGTACAATTGACCACATATGGTGTTCTTAGTTTCCATAGCTCCTGTGTTTTACGAGCGACTTATCAAGTCTTGGCAAACGGCATAAAACACGATTAAACGTGATAGTATATAAAACCATGCTCGTATCTACAACCTATAGAAATGCAAAACGGCGTCAGTTTAGACGTAATTCTGTCCGTATTTATTTATTTCTCCAAGTTACGTTTTTGTGTGCACTGAGGAGTCTCAAACAGGCGTTTGTTTAATCATTTTAAGATTGGCTTTAATCAAAGTTTGAAAATGAATTCTTCATATATGATAAATGAGGTAATATTTTATTTATAGTATTATTTCCACATATTTCTCTCCATTCTTTCTTCTGCCAACGGTGTCGCAGTTTCTCGTCTCTCCCATTGTTGTGCTTAGTGCGTACGCATGGGTTAGAGTTTGCGTGGAGGACCGCATGTTTTCCCGTCAAGTTAGGATTTTATAAATCGCAAACATTGCGTAGAAACTGGCGTACGCCATTTTTTGAGCGTATATCCCTTTATAAATGAGGCCCCTGATCTAGGGGGTACAACTCTAAAAACACCCATATGAAAAAGATCGGTTTACATTTTAATAATCAAATAAGTATATGAACATAACCAATAACCTACCATAGCCAATAACAAATAAATGTAACTTATTTTCTTATTTTACCTAGTTAACATTTATTTATGCATATTTTTGTATCTCTCCAACCTTAAACGATATTTTTGGTTTACTGTCCTATAGTATACATTGGAATGATTTCAAACCTGTTTTTATTTATCCTAATAATTATAAAGGAGTGCCTTGGAAATATGTGTTTACATAATTTGTAAACACATATTTGTTTGAGACCCACTGAGATAACTTAGACTAAAATTAACTATCTAAACACTCAGAGAGTCCTCTACCTCACTGAGCCTCTCAGTCTGACAGGAGAGCTCTCCTCCACCATGGTTGTAGAAACATCTACTTCTTATATCCGTTAGCGGTACCTGGCTGGCTGCGCTGCCACTATTTGTATATAGGGGAAACACTGACGTAGTGTCCGTGACCTCACCCATAGGATTCTGCAGAGTTGCCGAGAAGCCCTTAGTAGGCGGAGTCGGCCACTAACGTCTCGACAGTGACGTCAGAGTCTATCTCCCGCCTGATCCAAATAAGGGCAAAGAGGCGGAGCCGAGGCGGGACCTGCTGCCACCGAGCTGGAAGTAACAGAGCTAGCTCAAGCTAAGCTAACATGAAATACATGCATACCAAGCTACTGCGTGGCACTTTGGTTTTGATAAAACAGTGTAGTTCCACTATATAAAGGTTACATTCATAATCAAACGAGACAATCTGCAAGAGAATTAGAAATTCTTTGTTATTCTTAATGCTTGTCATTCACACGTTAATTAAATAAAATAAGTACCGATACATAGCAGAAAAATGGTGGCGATGTTCAGCTTAATAAGCCTTGTTCAACATAATTTATTTAGCTAATACTACAGCGGGCTGCAGGCGAACCAAGTCCGCGTTTCGCTGCATTCCTTGATCTCCAGTTATAACGCCGGACTCCGCCGCCGGGATGCTAACAGAGCCGCAGGGGACTAGCTCTGGCCACCGGGACGCCAGCTGGAGCTAGCCCCCTGCGGCTCCGTTAGCTCTGGCGGCCACCACTGGGATAATTGGGTCCCCTTTTAACATTTGCTCCCGTTTAGCATTATGGGCGTCATAGCCATAGACTATAAAAGTCTAAACTGTATATGTATGTATATATATATATATATATATATATATATATATATATATATATATATATATATATACACACACATGTATAAAGGGTTACGTCCTTAGCTGGCTAATAAGCTATATAACAAGCTAAGCTAACAAGCACACAAACACCTGCTAACGGGGTTAACATGTATAATATTATCATTTTAGACTTCTTGGAAGTTCTCTTAGTACATTCAAGCGTACAGCACGACATTTTAATTGTCTGGTATTTGTAACAACATTCCCTAAAAGGCACAATCACCACGAATACGGCTAAAGGGTCGAGTACAGTAACTACAACTAGCTAACGTTGTAGCCTAGCAGAGTGGACAAGTTGCTGTTAGCTGACAGTGAGGCACGTACCTGTCCATCAAAGTGACCACGCCCTAATTTATGCAAAAACTTTAAGACCTAATATAAATAAAAGGGTCTGTACTGTAGAGCACATGTGTATAAAAAGCAGGAAATAAAAAAAGGAACTCACCTTGTGATAAACCCACAAGAGAAAAAGCATTTGAGCTCCATACTGTTTCAGAAATAATAATTTAGAACAGGATGGCATTTTATCACAGCAGAATTTAACTTTATCTCCGGTAGAATTCTGATCAGGCATTAGCTCTGCCTCCTCTTTTTTCCCCGCGTTTCTCTAACAGGGCTGCAAAAGAGGGGTTTGAGCAGGATGAGGCATGGCTACAATGAGGGATCTGTTTGGTATTTCAAGCAAAAAACTTCACAGACATGTTTTGTATAGGTATGGCCCTACAATATATTTTTCCAATATAGCATAATAGGTCCACTTTAAATTGAGGGACAATAACCATTTTAATAATACAAATTGTTCCCCATAATGTAAGCTAGATCTTTCCCCATTTCTCTACATTTGTTTTAATCTTTTGTTAAATTGGGTTCAAATGTAGTAAAAGAAGTTTTTCCAAATCTTGACATATTTTGATTCCAAGTTATTTCATGCCTTTCGGAACCCATTTAAATGTGAATTTGTCCAACATATAAGGATGGCATGAGGCATGGCCTCAGACTTATTCCAGTTGACTGTGTATCCTGAAAGTTTAGAATATGAATCAATAGTATTCATAAGTTTGGCAAGGACGTCAGAGGGTCTGTTTATATATTTATGATTATATTTATTTAAAGCGTTTTGTATTGAAGCAGAATATTAAGTAAGATCATTCTTTTTTAATTATTTCCGATAAATATTGAATTCCTGATTTTTGAAGAATGGGGAATTTCAGAAACAGAAGATTTATTTTTATTTTGAAGGTCTGTTTCCTGATGTGCTTTGCAGCATTTATTTGTTCTTATTCCTGCATATTCCTTAAACCTTTAAGCACAATCGTATTTCAGTATACCATTCGTTGCAATGTTGAAGGAGCCTGGCATTTCAGATTGTCCTTGACAACAACTCCCTGGGTTTTTGTGCACAACACACTCAAGCCTATGAAAAATATGTATGTCGTTGTGCACAGAGATGGGGTCGTTACTAAAAAAAAGTAATATATTACATATTACATATTACTTAAAAAAAAAGTAATATATTACACTACTTCGTTACTCTCTAGATAAAGTAACTCGTTACTTTACTCGTTACTTTACTCGTTACTTTACTCGCAGGGCCGGCCCCTCCCTACAGGCAGATCACGCAGACTGCGGCGCACCTACAGTGTAAGCGCGCCTCAGTTTTGCCTCTGCGAGACTCCACTTGCACCCCCAATTACTATTGCATTAAGGAAGACATAACACAAGTCTTTCTTTTTATATGCTCTAAAATAGGCTACCAGCCTACCACAACAAGCTAACAGTCTGTGAAACGTAAATACACTAATTAATTAAACCAGTTCAAGACGCATTATTCTTATCATTCTTTATGAGCGCAGTAACGGTAAGGTATCTAATTACTTATTTATTTAGTATTCCATAACTTAGTAACAGAGATGGTCAAACTAAAGTGGTAGAGACAGAATTCCTACAATGAAGCGGGGCATTGAACTGTTCACCCGTGAGAGGGCGATCAACAAAAGAGAGCGAGCGGCCCCGTTGAGGGAGTTTACAGATGAAAAGACTCAGCCATGTTTATGCAGCACTGCACGTGGAGATGTGGTCTCGCAAATCGCGCAGATTACATAGGCCTACATGTATATAAACCTGCGGCGGAAACCCCTCTTGTCTGTCAGTGAGTGTGATTATTTTATAAAAGTAACGAAGTAACGCGTGTCGGGGCAATGTTAGTAACTGTAGTGTGATTACTGAATTATAAAAGTAACGCGTTACTTTGTAACGCGTTACACCCAACTCTGGTTGTGCAAGAGGAAATCAAGAAGCCGACTCACCTCTTTGGGGGTGTAGGAACTGGCGAGAGTCACCAGGGACCAGAACATGATGCCCATGCTCATGATGTACTTCCTGTTGTACCTGTCGCCCAGGTAACCAAACACAGGAGCCAAGAACATGTAGCTGCAGATAAAAACTGGAACAGACAACAACACTCAGAACTCATCTTAATACATATATTACACTTATAAATATATATATATATATATATATATATATATATATACAAATATAAAAATGTGTACGATTATGATTATGAATATAATAATCAATAAAGTAGAACTTGCTAGCTAACTATTATTAAATTAGCTTGCTCTAGTTTATGAATTCCTCTTTATATTTCCACATTTAGTGATTCTTGTTCTAATAGCTAATATGTATATAATAATCTAGTTCTGTTTACCAGTTTGGAGCAGGCCGGATTTCTCATCGTTAATCCCAAAAAAGTGCTCGATGTCGGGGAGAACACCTGGGGGGAGTTGGGGGTTGTGGGGGGACAAAGAGGCTTTAATTTGACTTCTCAGGAGACAGACACACAATCACCACAACTTTAAAGACGACAACAAAATATTTAGAGACGGCATCGGGATTTTACAATTTACTTGAAATTAATTCTACTTTCCTGAATGTATTCATTTATTTTTCAAACTATCATTTGGTAAAGAATAAGGGCAAGATGGCATGTGTATATTTTTTATTCAGATTATATATATATTTGAATAATAAATACATTTTTTATAAATATTTATATTTGATTTAAGCCTTTTTCTAAAGAAATGTATATTACTGCTTTAATCGAGACCAAATGATTTGTTATCCAATCTTATTTTGATAATGAAATGTTGGTCATTTTTCATATACGTTACAACTAGGGTTGGGAACCGAAACTCAGTTCCAGATGAGAACCGATAAGAAAATGCCGGGTACCGGGTACCCATACAAAATACTCAATTTCGAGACAAGGCACAGTGTAATGCCTGTTAATAGCTTGCCAAAGGCATAGCTCAGTTCAAATAAAGCACAGCTATTGTGCAATACATTTGTATTGCATGTATATTTTTTATTTGTAACAATTTCAGTTAAAGCTTAAAAGAATAAAGATATTTTTGTTTTCTAAACGTTTGACCTCTTTCTTTTACAATTTTGGAATCGAAACGGGGAATCGATAAGAAATGGAATCGATAAGAACCGGAATCGATAAGAACCGGAATCGATAAATTTCAAACGATACCCATCCCTAGTTACAACATTATCTTGTTATAGGCCTGAGCTTGTTAAATAGTAAACTGATGAAAAAACGTAATCAATAAGTAAAATTAGAACACAAACTAAAAATATTTTAAAAGCAAATAACTGAAATAAAATAAGGGAGGAATACAAATAATTGGGGATGGGACGTTATGATCCTCACTAGCTGTCTCTATTGTTTACATAAACAAACTTTTCATAATGCAATAATTATTTAATGCATATTATTCATTAAGGGATTTATCAAAGTGCCTCTAAATATATGCTTCTAATCAATATCTAATATTTATTTCTAGAAGATTATTAGGACATTACTGAAAATAACAGTTTTTCTTCCAACCCATCTTCATAAATCTTGTGATATTACATCCCTGATCAGAATCAGAATCAGGTTTTGAACCAGGTAGGTTCACACGTACGAGGAATTTGACTTGGTGCATACATAAAAGTAAAACAAGATTTAAAAACACAGAACTATTTCACGAAAACTATAATAACATTACAAAAAATATATACAAAATATAGTCAAATATAGCAGTATTTACATAGAAATAGAATGGAATAAAATATGGAATAAAATGTGTCAGTAATAAAAAAAGAAAACAGATATTGTGTACATTGTGTGCATGTTGCCTTTGGGAGGAAATGAAAGCTTGTGAGCGGTGTACCTGCCACAGTGAAACGGTCCATGTAGTTGAGCAGGTTGATGTAGCAGAGGACGAGGACGGTCAGCAGGGCTCGGACCTTCGACACGCCGCTCGCCTCCTCCTCCTCCTGCGGGCGCGGAGCCCCCCCGCCCTGCTCCTCAGGACCCTCCGCCTCGCTCTCATCGGAGAAGAACGGCACCACGTCCGACGCCTGCTCGCTCAGAGACATGGCCGCCGCTGAGGAGGGGGTCAACAGAGACGGTGAGTGGAGAGTCAAGGGACTGCCATGAAAATACACTATTAGAATATAAGAGAATTATCACAGAAGTAATGTGGAGGGATAAGAGAAAGGAATACAATTAATAAGGGCAAAGCAATAAGAATAAGTTAAATGAAAAGGATCAAACAAAAATATTTAACTTTTTTTTTTTTTTTAAATCATTATAAAAGAAATATCTAAAGAAAATCCAATAATAAATAACCATCCAATTCAAAATATATTTTCAAATTAATTGAGAAATACATCAATAAATAAACGCCAATATAAATGAAGATGCTTAGAATTATTATTTTATACGGTGTTATGGTTTATTAAATATTGTATTTGTTCCTTTTTATAATTATTTTAAATGTGGTTATTTATATTTACATTTCTCTTTATATTCCTACATTCATTGAAACTTTTTTTGTTTACAGATGTGTCCTTCTTTTTGGCACTGTACAAAGTGTCAGGAGTGGACAGATAGAAATGAATTTGAAAGTGAAACATAAAACTTCCGGCGCAAACTGAAAACTCATCTCTTTCGACTCCACTTCGAGCGTTAGAACGATTAACGAAGCACTTTTATACCAATAAAGGACTGGATTACCTAAAGCCAGTGGAGTAGCACTTGAAATGTTTGGCTCTATGAAACCTGATGTACTTATATGATTCTGTTTTCTTCAAGGTTGTGTCTTCCTGGTCGAATGTACTTATTGTAAGTCGCTTTGGACAAAAGCGTCAGCTAAATGCAATGTAATGTAATAATGTAATGTAATGTAAAAAACAATGAATCGTTCTGTGTCATGTGTTTGCCGTGAATGAGTGGTGCAAACAAACGGTGGCAGCAGCTGCACCGGAGAATCAGGTCTACTGATCATGTGGGACTGAAGTGACACTAAACACTCACATGAACAACATCTCCCTCTTCTCCGTAGGAAGGGTTGGTGTTCTGGTGCTTCACAACAGTGAATCAAAGTACATTTGTTGCGTTGAACATTTTACAAATATTGCATTTGTCATTTATGGAGGTCAGGAGAGGCCAACATAAACAATAAATGAATAAACATTACATTGCATTTAGCTGACGCTTTTATCCAAAGCGACTTACAATAAGTACATTCGACCAGGAAGACACAACCTTGAAGAAAACAGAATCATGTACATCAGGTTTCATAGAGCCAAACATTTCAAGTGCTACTCAACTGGCTTTAGATAAGCCAGTCCTTTATTAGTATAAAAGTGCTTTGTTAATAGTTCTATCGCTCGAAGTGGAGTCGAAAGAGATGAGTTTTCATTCTACTCAGAGTACCTTAAAAGGCAACTTCACTGCCTGCAGAAAAAATGTCTTGTGCTGGACAGAAGTGAAGAAGAGGAAGAAGTGACCAGAGAAAGTCATGTAATCACTAAACACAATGGCCAGGAGCTCATGACAAAGAAGGCTTCTCAATTATCTAATTCCCCTCTTCGACTCCTATCCTCGTGTCTTAGTCCCGCCCACAGAAGATGCGAGCGGAGGAGTCGAACCGAGGAAAGAGGAGGGGAAGCAGCAGGCGGTTAGAGAAATGAGAACTCCTCTCCTCTGAGCGGTCATTTTAAAGAGACGTCTGATGGACAGATGTGTTCATGACGACTTATATATTTACTTTTAATTCATTCACAGTGCGGTATAATGAGACAATAACAGGCTACAGATGCAGACATATACACACACATATGTATATAAATATATATACAATTTCAGAATCAAACAAGTATGAGAGTACTCTCATAACACAATCAGAGATATATTGCTCCATTCGAAAGCGCATTTCATTGATCATAGGGTTATCAGTTTCAGGACATGATCAGATCATTCATCTCAGTAATCCACACAATTTATGGTCGGCTGTTCCTATAACTGGCATTTTAACTTCTTTAGAGACTCACGCGCTGTGTGCGCACGATTAAATAATAAGCCACTGCTAAATATAGGCTACCAAGAGTTAACCTACTTGTTGGACACCACTCCAGAAATGTTTAGGTACTCTGCGTTGCATACAACGTTACTTTTAGAGTGGTGATGAAATGTCTTGGGACGTTTAAAAGGTGTGTAATGCAAAACTCGACACGTCTTTAAGATGATTCTGAAACAGTCCAGACTCAATTCAGAATTCTGCCTGTTTTATGTTCCTCGGTTTGCAACGAACTAAACGTTATATAAAACAAGTAAAACAATTAAAAGGTGATATTTAAATTAAATGATGCATTCGGCCAACGAAACAGATGGTTTCACCAACGCTTCTTTATAACCTATGAATATTTTCTACAACGCTCAATATGAAAAACAGTTCACCGAGAAAACGATACATCTCCTTCATAACAGTTGAAAACACGTCGCTAAAATAGTATCATGAAAACGTAACAATGACACTATATTGATTGCGTGTAAATGATGCAGGACGGGATGCTTACAATAAATACATTATCCTTAGTAATGTTTTAACAAAAATAAAAAGCAGACAATAAAGCGAGGCTAAATTCGCAATATTTTGAATGGAGTCTGGCATGAGATGTCTCGCCAAGCCAAGTACAAGATAAAGGTACGTAGCGAAGTTTATCAAACCTTAAGTCTTATCCATCTTTATGAGGAAACTCATGTGTGTAATACTTGTTGTTCATTTGATGCAGATAATACGCAGCTAACTGTGGTCCAGTGACTGTTCACAGTGAGCGTGTTAGCCCGTTGTTGGTGTTGTTTACCTGGGAAGATGAGTAAGGGCTCTCGCTTCCTTCTTCTCGCTGCCGCCGCTTCAAATGTCGTCTTCGTCACACCGAGCTGTGAATTTTATTCAAACTCCATTTTGTTGCTTTAATAAAAAATGCTACTTCCTAAGAACAATCTTTACCAGGAAGCGATTTAAAATATAAAATCTTAACTGCAGGAGACTTCAGAAATGACAATTGTGCACCGCGGCCATGTTGGCTCTGACCAAACTTCCGCTTCGCAACTCACATGACTCTGTGAAGTCATTGACACGTGACAATAATAATGAAATGATTAATCTAATCAGTTTGATGAAAACAGTTATTTACATCATAATTGTGTCGTGTATTCATTTCAGGCTTTATTATTGATTACGTGGTGGGGAATTTGTATTATTTGATGAGTATATCTTTATTGCACAAGCATATTTATTTATTGCATGTGTCTGTTCTTTAATTACATAGCACACATTTAAATCCTAATAGGTATATATATTTTACTTTAAAATGCAAATTAATTTATTTCATAGCCTTATTTATTTTACAGGAAGATTTATAAATTCTTAGTCATTACGTATATTTATTTATTTCATAGCCATATTTGTTGTATAGTCATGTTTATTTATTTCATAGCCATATTTAAATATCATCTGCATATTAATTTATTTTGTAGCCATTAGTATTTATGAGTTTGAATTTCTATCCATATTTACCTAGGATAGATCATAGGCATATTTATTATTTCAGTGACATATTGATCTATTTTATGGACATAATTATTTAATATACATATTTTATTTATTCAAAGCCAATTATTTTAATGTCATAGAGATAGTTATTCATTTCATACATATTTATTTCATAAGCTTAGTTATTTAATTCATAGCCATATTTATTTTCTTTTATATATTCTAGCCATATTTATATGTCTATGAATTTATTATGTATTAATTATACGGCAATTCATAGTTTCTGGAAAAAAATAAAAAATGACATTAGCTGCCATTGTAACAATAAAAATAAAGACATTTTAAATGAATGGATGAAAAAAAGACATTTTGATAGTAAACAACATTTTGAATGTAGGACTTTTACTTTACAAAATTTTAACAATGTGGTTCTGTTTATTTTGTAACACTATATAAATATACTTCTTCCACTATGACTTCAGTAACTTCTAATCATTTTATTATTTCCAGTAACAGTAACAAATTAACAAGTATTATTGTACAGTCACAAAAACATTACAAGTATACAATTGTACAATGAGGGCTTATTTACTCTGTATTTAAAAAAAAGTGTTATCATATAACCCCTATTATAACCCTATTAACTCTGTATTTAACATCTACAGATAAAGTGACTTTTACAGATAATGTAACTGCACTACCTAACCAGTAGATTTCCATTGTTGTTCAAATTATTGTTGAAGCCTAAAAAGCCATTTCCAGAAATAAAAAGTTAACGTTAGGCTAAACGGTCACATTCCTTTTTGACACCACACAAAGCTAAATGCGGCTAATATTTGCTGTGATGGCGTTTAGTAGTCTCATTTAGCTACTTGTTAGCAACAGCTGCTTTTAAGACATTTAGAAGCTTGAAAAGTGGGGTAATAAAACCTTAAATCTCTTAAGCTTGTGTTAACATTCCAAAAAAAACGTTGAATGAGACGAGTAGGAAGAGCTAAAATGAAATTAAAAACGAATTTCAGGGGTGTAGGACTCATCCCTGCAGCACGCTATGGTTAATGTAAAATTAATTGATCTAGGTCCAAACTTCGATGATGTCACCGTCCTCCATGTCGAGGTGTGCCGGAGTCTGCCTGTCCGTCACTTTGCAGCCATCAAAGTGGAAGCGTACCTTACGCTTGGCGGGGGCAGACATCTTGGACATGTACTGGGAGAAGATGGAGCCCAGCGGAGCATCCTGAAAAACACACACATTATTATTATCATTGTAATAATTATTAATATAATAATCTTTGTTGGAAAGTTAATAAATACATATACTCCAGTTCTTACTTCCCCTACCAGCAGCTAAAACCATATTAAAAACAGCTAAATCAAAAAAGGGACTACAATTCCCATCATGCCTATCAAGAGAAATAACTTTGGGCAACCTGTGTGGTAGTACAGTGAGCACATTTTATAACAAATAAACCTTGTTTATAAAATATATATTGTTTATTTTACTTTGTTCTAAAATAGAGAACATTTTACAAAATCACATTCCAGCCTGGGAAAAATAAAGAACTCTGTTGTAAATTATGTTCCAAGTTCACATTGAAGGTACTTGAGAATTGTTATTTTATGCTACGTTATACTTTTACTAAACTAGAATCTTGGTGGCAAATGTTGTACTTTTTACTCAATTACATTTATTTGAAAGCTTAAGTTACTGGATACTTTGCAGATTAGGATCATATTACAAAATCTATATCAACTAATGCATTATGATATTATCATAGGGTAAGCTACGCAGTAGTATATCAAATAATGTAATAAACCCCACATTTACCAGATGTAAAACTGAAGTGATGAACACAATAAGGCATCTATGTTTATAATTTAATAATAACATATATATCATTCTTCATGTCGGTACTTCATGTGTTCGGTTCTTCAAGTATATTTAGATGTGTTAACACATTTGTACTTTTACGTAAGGTAGGTTTTAATGCAGGCTTTAACATGAGTATATTTGCATTGTTGTATTGCTATTTTTAACTTAAAGGTCTCCTATTTTGCTATTTTTAGGCATATATTATAGGTTTCAGATATATAAAAAACATGTCTGTTTGCTCAAAATACCAAACAGATCATGCATTTTAGACATCCCTCATATCCCTCTATTTCAGCCCTGTTAGAGAAGTGCTGATTCTGGGTCAGTAGCTGCTGGCCCCGCCCCCTTTGGAGCACGCAGGCACACTGTGAGGTCTGTGACGAGCTGTCTGATCTGCTCAGATGCAGCTAAATGCTACCGTGATTAAACACCATATCAAGGATTATTTCTGAAACAGTATGGAGCTCAAATGCTTTTTCTCTTGCGGGTTTACCACAAGGTGAGTTCCTTTTTATTTCCTGCTTTTTTACACCAACTCTCTCCCGTACAGGTTAGCTCAGAGCATTAGCGATGCTTGCTAATGTAAACAAAGACCATATTACTTCCAAAACACGTTGTGCATTGTTTCTGATAGCAACTTTCTGATAGGGCTGTGGGTGTAAAGCCAGCCCACATTTCTGATATTACGTCATATCGGCAGCAAATCTGGATCAACTCCGTTGTAGCCCCGTTTTTAGAGATTTGGGTACGGAGGAGAGAGAGAGGGTTTGTGAGTTCCCTTACACACCGGGGACACATATTTATGTATAAAATACATTAAAAAGTGCATTTTGCATGATAGGAGCTTTAAGTTTAAGAGTACTTCTTCCAACATTGATAATAATGTGCTGCTGCTGGAACAATAAGAAAGCTGGTGCTAGAAAGAAGAAGAAGAGGAGGCAGAAGAAGAAGAGGAGGAGCAGAAGCTGTACGCACTCTGTGCAGAGAGAACTCCTGAGAGGAGTCTCTGTCTTTGCTCTGCAGCCTCACAGTCAGGCTGCTGCTGCTCTCTGTGGCGCTGCTATCTTCTGCTGCCATCACCACACACTCTGCACGGCACACATGAGAGAGAGTTAGTGAACAGTTCTAAAATGTAATAATGTGCTGCCATGTGCAACTTAAAACATTGTGCGATGCATGTGTGTAAATCTTTTTTTGTTATGTGACCAACTAGTTGCCCTAACTGAAGAACATATATACAGATACAAATTATGTAAACGATAATACAAAAAGAAAGAGAAAAAAGGTAGGGAGTCCCTTGCCCACGCCTTAATAAATATAGTATTTGGGAGTTTCCATCGTGTTACACATTGTTTTTGGGCTGTAGTCAAATGAGCGAAGACTCGCCTTTTCTGATGGTTTAGTAGGTTAAGAGAGGAATCATCATTCAACAATACAATATTTGGGAGCTCCAATAATCTCAGATACAATGTCAATCACTTGTTTCCAGAACTTTCTAACTGCAGTGCATTAATAAAACATGTTCCAATACTCCTTTGGTAACACAGAAGGCATATGGGGCTTGGAATCATCCTTAGTTGACAGCATTTCCTGGTTCACAGGTAATATCTGTGTATCTTACTGTATCAATTGGTGATGTGGATATGTGAAGTTATTCCATACTCTCTTCCAATCAATAGCCTGTGTGTAGTTTTTTCGATATGCGGACCATACTGCGGAGATGCCAATATATCCGGTTGAACTTTCCTGCAGCTTTTTATATATATTATATATATATTATAAGGACATTTGTGTTTTGTAGATTATTTATTTGTTGTAATTGCAAGATGTTTCTTTAACCCCTAAATAGGTAGGAAATAATTAAAGAAGGAAATTGGAAGCCACTTCTCAGGAGGAGCAGAGTGTTCACTAATGTGAGCCCTGCTTCTGCTTTTCTCTGTTATATTGGTGCCCTAAAGTTTAAACCACCACTAGTAGCACTAGTCAACGATAATGATTTGGTACCCTCTAGTGGTTTACAATTTGTGTTGCTGAAAGTCTCAGAAACACAAAATAATCTGGACCGAGAATTGTTTGTTTGACTTCTGTTATGTATGGAGTCACAGGAGTGGCTTATCGAAGAATAATAAGGTTAAAGAAAAAGAAAACTATGAAGAAAATGAAACAGATAAAAAAAAATAGGGAAAAATACAACTAAATTAATACATCTAATTATTTCATTATTTAATTTCAAGTTTTAATATGAATATATGATCCTTTAACTAACTTTTTTTATTTAATGTTTGCTTATCAATTTTGCTACTAAAGAAATAATTAATGTGTGATGTCATGTGACCCACCGATGATGTCAGCGATGCCGAGGCCGAGTTCGCCGACGGTGGAGTTCGCTGGGAGCTCCTCTTCCTTTCTCAGCAGCATGAGGCGAGGGGGAGGGGCATCTAGGATGACGGATAGCCGAGTCAGTACGTCACTTAAAGGCGTCGACTTAAAACAAAAACAAACCCTGTGTTAAACAATGTAACGGTTGACATCTTAACATACTGCTGCTTATATCATACTATCAGAACTGTAATTTCGTAACAGCTGCTCCATCTTGGAACTTGATAAAAATAAAATGAAATAATAAAAAATGTATAGAAAAATAACAAGTAGGAAAAAAAGTATAAAGCTTACAGTTCAAAAATAAATAAAATAGGGAAAATAAGCATACGTACCGACAGCACGGGGATCTTGTGTACGTGTGTCATGCAGCGGATCTTGAGCGGGATTTCCCGTAACGACTCGCTGTACGGAGAATTCTGAGGGCCAGGATTCGGGTTTATGCAGATGATATCATCGTCTTCCTCGATGAAATGCCGTCTTCTGCATTCAGGGGACTCTAAAGTGTTGGCCGCCCTCAGCTTTATGTCGATCTTACTGACGACCAAAAACACACAAGGTTTTATTTATTTTGTGCAAACCACTTTGAGTTACATGAATTGTGCTATATTTATTATAGATGTCACAATTCAATTTTAAAGCAAGATCTGCAATTCCCCTGGTTATATGGATCCCTCCCCACCACCTTCCTGAAAAAGTCCCAACCTAAAAGTCCCGCTTACAAAACCTTCTCTCTGTGCTACTTATGAAGATTTTTTTCATAGATATATGCAGAATTTATGAGATAAAAAATGTTGATGTCCCAAGTCATTTCTGAACCTTCATAAACTAGATAAAGCAAGGTTGCATAGCAAGGTACATAAATCAGACACAATTCTGAATTGAGATGGGTGACTAGAGATATCAGCTGAAGAGCTACGTATTGGGTAGCACAGGATCCGGACTCACTTGATCATGTTCTTGGCATGTCTGGACTGAAGCACCTCCGGACTCCCTGGAGGAGATGGGGAGCTAAAGGTGGCCCTGGAATAAAAAAGGTAAGGTAGGGAAGGTTAAGCGTCTTTGAGTTTTTAGAAAAGCGCCATATAAGTGTCATGTATCATTATTATTATTAAGAGAACATGTACATTTTATCTTAAAAGCTTTTAGTCTTATTAAAGTAGAAGCCACAAATGACACATATAAATGCAGATTTATTGATTTTAGTATGAGCCATTTACAGGGTTCATACACTTTTTCACCAATGATTTTCAATGACTTTTCCATGACTTCTCAATGACCTTTACCTAATTTTCCATGACCAAAAAAAAAATTGCCACTGAAAATGGTTTATTTTAACATGGAACAGGAAAATAAGGTCTGCATATGAAACATGTTGTGCCTATCTAAAACAAATCAAATAGTAGGCTTACTAGCTTCTACACACTAAAGCAACTGTAGTCAGGGAGGCAAACTCATCAGGTATGAAAAAGGTGACAAGGATCCGAGCCCCCGACCCCACGGAATATCGGTTTAGGAATAACAGAAGATTTTAGCAATCAGAACAACTAAAGCAGCAGGTAATAATAACAGCAACGCCAAAGAGTCACATCTAATAGAAATATATAAAAGCATTTATTTTAATTGTGTAGCAGTCAGTTTATAATTTTGGCAGCACTGTTGAGCATTTTGAAAATGTATTTTCATGCCTCTGTTCAAGGCTTAGTCTTTCTATCTTTATAGCCACTGGCGTAAAGTAACTAAGTTCATAAACTCAACAAGTACTATACTTGGGTACAATTTTGAGATACTTGTACTTTATTAAGTATTTCAATGTGTTGCTACTTTGTTCTTCTTCTCCTCTACAATTCAGAGGTACATGGTGTACTTTTACTCCACTACATGTATTTAATACCTTTAGTTACTTCACAGATCTGGATGAATGATGTGAAATATAATCAAGTGTTGAATCAGACTTTAGTTCCACCTGGAGTAAATTCCCAAGCTACCCTGCAGTATACAAAGTCATTCAAACTAGCTGCACCTTTACCAGCTTTGAGAACACTTTAATGATCAATCATTATAAAACATATCATATATATTATTCTGAAATGGACCAATCTGCACAACGACTACTTTTACTGTCGCTACTTTCACTATATTTTGATGAGAATACTTTTCTACCTTTACTCGAGGAACATTTTGAATGCAGGACTTTTACTGTAACAGAGTATTCCTACACTCTGGTACTTCAACTTTTACTCAAGTACAAGATCTGAGTACTTCTACTTTTACTCAAGAACAAGACCTGAGTACTTGTACTTTTATTAAGTACAAGATCTGAGTACTTCTACTAAAGTACAAGATCTGAGTACTTCTACTTTTACTCTAGTACAAGATCTATACTTATACCACCTCTGTTTATATCCTATTAAAAAAACTATTAGAAAACAAAGGCTAAAGCTAACGTTAGCAGATAGTGACCAGAGAGGTTTCTCAATACTCAAATTTTCCCTCCTCGACTCCTCGGTCCTCCGGTAGTGACCCGGAAATGAATTTCAGCGCGCCATGTTGAAGGACATCTAATTTCTCTAAATGCACACCGAGGACCGAGCATCGAGCGTCGAGGAGGCTCTCTGGAGGAGCTCTAACCGAGGATACACTGATGGTTCCTCCACGGCTCCTCCGCGGATGCATTTCCGGGAACGGTGGAGGCGTGACGCACGGCCGGACTTATCTCAGCCAATGACAGCTCTGCATGCATCCCTTGGATATTATATTAGTAACTGCTTTCATCGCAACGCGATGTTTACAGTGAGAACAGCTGTAAGGTCCGTGCAGCAAGCAGAGCAGTGTGTAAAATATATATCACTCAGTATAACAGGCCTACATTACTCTCTGTATGTGTATGCTGTAGTTTAGTAGATATCTACAAACAAAGAGTCGATATTTTTCTAAGACCATTTAGTGCTTCACATAATAAAATACACAACGTTTATAGCCTGATTATGCTTTAGGAGCAGTAGGTGTGTGTGGTACAGTGTGTAGGTGTGTGTTGTACAGTGCGTAGATGCGGCGGACAGACGGGTCTCAGTTGGGTTGGTGTCCTATGCCCTATGCTTACTTTTAATACTTGTACAACTTTTGGCCCGTAATTTCAATTCCCCATTTCAGCGACCAGAGAGAGAGGGGGGGGGGGGGATATATCCAGTCTCTGATTGTGTTACGTTATTATGAGAGTGCTCTCATACTTGTTTGATTCTGAAATTGTATATATTTATATAAATATATGTGTGTGTATATGTCCGCATCTGTAGCCTGTTATTGTCTCATTATACCGCACTGTGAATGAATCAAAGTAAATATATAAGTGGTCATGAACACATCTGTCCCTCAGACAGAGGGCTGCTGTGCCTCCTGTCATCATTAATGGACGTCTCTTTAAAATGACCGCTCAGAGGAGAGGAGTTCTCATTTCTCTAACCGCCTGCTGCTTCCACTCCTCTCTCCTCGGTTCCCCTCCTCAGTCCTCCGCTCGCATCTCCTGTGGGCGGGACCAAGTCTCGAGGAGGGGAGTCGAGGATAGGAGTCGAGGAGGGGAAATTTGAGTATTGAGAAACCTCTAATGTATGCTAGCTAGCTAGCTAGCTCAAAGAGTCCTTAAATAATATTGCGACAGAATCACGCTCTGCCGCTCTGCTCTGAACACCTGAACGGCCCGTTCTAACAGCTGTTCACCAGCGGTGCAGTCTGTGCCACAGTGACTCCGCACAGAACGAACGCACCGTAGATAATGTAGCTGACCCTCATCCCGGAGCAGCAGAGTACAGCCGGCCCGACAGGCAGGAAGAAGACTCGAGCACACAGCTCGCGCTTCATATATTAAAAAATAACACCATGCGCGTCATGATGGCACATAACAGCTCGCGACCGCAGATTATTTCGGCGAATAGATCAAATGTAAATTATATTTGACGCAACTTTAGTTACATTTCCATGACTTTTCCAAAACTTTGGGAAAAATATTGTTTTCCATAACTTTTCCGGGGCCTGGAATTTGCATTTTGAATTTCCATGACTTTTCCAGGTTTTCAATGACTGTACGAACCCTGCATTTATGTTTATGTTTATAAACTTTATATATAATATATATTTAATATATCGTGCAGTGTTATTTTGGGCAATTGGGCCTGAGTGACAGGAAAGGGAGCGCATTAATAAATCAAATCAGGTTTTATTCATATAGCACATTTTAAAAACGATTTTTGGTCGAGCAATAAATAACACATTACTACAATCGCAAACAGAAGACAATAAATTACAACAGAAATATAAAAAACACAGGGAAATGTCAGGAGTTGTGCTCCGCTCTGACTAGAAGGCCAGGGAGAAGAAGTGAGTTTTTAGTGTTGATTAAAAAAAACCCAGGGTCTGGGCCGACCTCACATGGAGGGGCAGAGTGTTCCAGAGCCTAGGGCCAGCTGCTGCGAAGGCTCTGTGACCTCAGGTTTTTAGCCTGGTCTTGGGCACTATCAACAGCAGCTGATCAGCCGACCTTAATGCTCTGGCTGGGGTGTAGCGATGGAGGAGTTCTGCTGTATAGGCTAATAGAAAGATTCAACATCAAACTAGTTTAACTACTTACGGTTGTGTATTCTTCAGAAGCACTTCTGTTTCGTCTTCCTCGGAGTCAATGTAGGAGACGGCGGTTGTTCTGCTGATCGCAGGGGAAAACTGAAACCATAAACTGTCGTCTGCCCCGTCGTCTGCCCCGTCGTCTGCCCAGAGACGAAGACAGTCACATTTACAGATTAACACCAGATTAACACCAGATTAACACATTCCAGACACTGGGTTTAAGTCTTGTTCAAATATTTACCTGAGATTTGCTTTTGAGTGAAACTAGCTGCTGTTGGCTTCAGCTGCAAACCGTTGCTTACCTGATTAAAAAGACAAACTCAGGTAATTAAAAACATAATTATAAAGTTTTAAAAAGGGAAACAACTAAGAATTTCCAAGATTAAAGTCAAGGTATCTTTGGGATTATTATTAAGGTAAGTATATTTATATAGCAAATGTTCAGACATAAGGGCAATTCATAGTGCTTTAGATCAAAACTAACACACAATAGTTAAGAGAGAAACAAAACAAACAATAAATAAACACAATGGAATAACAGATTCAAAAAGACCATTCATAAAAGAGTTACAGGGTAGTTTAAAATCAACATTGTAAACAGTGGCGGCGCCAGACTATTTGTGTTGGGTAATCTATGGTAGGGCTAACCCATACAGTGGTGGGGCTCAAATCAGTATTTGTAATGTAATTACATACACGCTATATCGCACCCCTTGACAGTGAAACGCCAAGCGTGAGGCTTTTATTAGCTTTTATTAGTCTCCTTTTATCAGCTAAATTACATCGAGAGCAACAGGTGTGAGTTAAACAATACAATAGCCTATTCTGCTAATTCCACGTTGTTACAACATACGCAGCGGCAGAAACAAGAAAAGTTGGCATATAGAATTGACACGGAGAGAGAGAGGGAGAGAGAGAGAGATAGGGAGAGTGAGGGAGAGAGACAGAGAGAGAGACACAGACACAGCACACAACAGGTGGCCTGTGTTTCTATTGTCATACAAAACACTTTTTCAAATGACCCATTATTACAAAATATATTCAAAACTCACTATTCACTCTTCAGGTGGGTCGTGTGACTCTGGCACCTGTTCGACTTGTACCTCAATGCGAGGGCGTTTAAGAACAAATCTATCCATCCGAAATATACAAATAATCCTAGAAGTTCTGCTGTCTGTCTGCAATTTACTCGGCGCGAGTTTGGGGACTTTTCACTGTGAACGTGACGTATCAGTAATGCATGACGCAGCAGACCCAACGTTTCGTTGCTCTGATTGGTTGTAGGTCTATTCAAATTGCATTCGGAGGCATTTTGATCTGACCGCGGCTGCGCTGATATTATAACGCGAGAGAATTTTCACACCTTTAGTGTATAAAACTCCCCCACTACTTAGACTATTCCGTGCACCCCTCTAGCATAAGCCCGAATGGTCTCAACCATATTGCGTCAGTAACGTGCACTTGTTGTTACAGCAGGATCAGTTTGTGTGTTGTGGACACGACCGGTAGATTTTCGCAATCCGTGTACTTTAACATACTTTTTCATGGTCGGGCTAAGGTAGGGCTAAGCCATTTCTTGGTATGGCTGTAGCCTACCCCAGCCATACCGTGGCGCCGCCACTGATTGTAAATATGGATGATGCTGCAAGAAGTGTAAGGATAAAACAAAGTTAAATTACTTCTGGGTAAGCAGCAGTACAAATAAATATTTGTAACCTCGACTTAAAATAACTCGGGGTTGGTGAGGACCTCAGGCTTTCTGGGAGAACTCAGACTTCTTGTAAGATTGTACATTTAAGAAATGTTTGCAATTTTCTTTTCTGTTAACAAAACCTCATCAATTCATCAACTCCAGCACACCAATTTGTGCGCTTATTGTGAAATGTATCACTTAAGTCAGAGAAAATGTAAATGTTATTCCTGTAAATGTCTAACTTCTTTGTGTAAATGTACTGCTTTAACAGCAGACTGCTTGAACATGCTTGAACATTCAACCTTTTCTCTCTTAAATAAGTGAGATTTCTGTCCTAACTTTACCACTTAAATATCAGAGAATATTGGATTTTTCCATCTTTAGTTTAAACATTTAATTTCAAAGTATATTTGACATAAATGTGTGATTTGTTTCTCTTGTTGGTTGGCCTTTTATTTCTAATCTATAATGGCTTGTATACCGAATGGCCCACCAGCTGCTGTGTACCTGGTTGGTGTAAACGGGGACCGAGATTATGGCTGAAGGGTCGAGGATGCGTCTGCGTTTGGGCTGAGGATTCACAGCCTCCTGCTCCTCGTCAGACACCTAAAAATCAGACAGACGGAGACAATAGGAAAAAGGGAAATATCCAGTGAGCGACAGTTATCTGGGCGAAAATGCCTTGCTGATGCCAGAGGTCAGAGGAGAATGGCCAGACTGGTCCAAGATGATAGAAAGGCAACATATACTCAAATAACCACTCGTTGAAACAAAGGTATGCAGAAGACCCTCTCTGAACCACAACACGTGGAACCTTGAAGCAGAGGGGCTACAGCAGCAGAAGACTAGGTTCTACTCCTGTCAGCTAGGAACAGGAAACTGAGGCTACAATTCACACAGGCTCACCAACATTGCACAATAGAAGATTGGAGAAATGTTGCCTGGTCTGATGGGTCTCGTATTCTGCTGCGACATTCGGACGGTAGTGTCTGAATTTCACGTGAACAACATGAGAGCATGGATCCATCCTGCCTTGTATCAACGGTTCAGGCTGGTGGTGGTGGTGTAACGGCCCGTCCACATTACAGCTTCGACAGCTTCAAAAACGGTTTCCAACACGTCTGCCCATTCACTTTGAATGGGGTGACGTCACTTTTCGCCGAACTGCATTGTGGGAAGCAGAGCGGAGCTTTCTTGGCGTTTCAGGCTGCAAAAGTTGAGCAATGTTCAACTTTTGAAGCTTCTGAAGCTTTCGGTGGAAGCGTCAGCCAATCAAATCATATGCCAGTACAAGCTCTAGCCAATCAAACCGCTGCTTGTGTGTCAGGGGCGGGAGATTCATGTGATTGGTTGTTGGTCGAGCTTCAGACACGCCCAGCTCCAAGCTTTTTTTGAAGCTGTAGTGTGGACGGGCCGTAATGGTGAGGGGGATATTTTCTTGGCATACTTTGGGCCCCTTGGTACCAATTGAGCAACGTTTAAACGCCCACAGCCTACCTGAGTATTGTTGCTGACCATGCCCATCCCTTTATAACCACATGGTACTCTTCTTCTGATGGCTACTTCGAGCAGGATAACGTGCCATGCCACACAAAGCTCAAATCATCTCCAACTGGTTTCTTGAACATGACAATGAGTTCACTTTACCCAAATGGCCTCCACGGTAGGGCTGAACGATTCATCGATTTTAAATGTTTAAGTTTAGTTCTTTCACTCGTAGCTTGGGCTGCGGGGGTGCTAGAGACAGGAGCACGTTGATATGACCTTCCTAGCCGCATTTTACAATAAACTTAAAAACAAATATCGCAAATCGAATGCAATCGCAATATCTGTCAGAAAAATCGCAATTAGATTATTTCCCCAAATCGTGCACCCCTACTCCACAGTCACCAGATCTAAATCCTGTAGATCACCTTTTGGATGTGGTGGAAAGACTCTGTACATCATTGTCAGCCTTCTTACAGTGCAGATGCGTTTCTGCTTGCTCTTGCCTCTGCTTACTTTTTTATGCTGTTTTTCTATTTTTCTTTTTCTGAAAACTGCGAGCAGCGGCTCCTGGACATTAACTTATCACTGGGACAGTTATTCTTCGTAAATAGACGGAGGGTTTCAGCCATATTTCAATATTTTTACGACGACCTCAGTCTTACAGTAGCGTGGCCTAGCAACAGCTAAAGCCTGGTACTGCATGCTATTTTGCTTAAGCTAGTTAGCAGCAAAATGCCTCCGTTCTATACAGATGACTTCCACAAACTTCTACAGAAGATGGCCGTGTTGGAAATGAAAATTCAACGGTTGGAAGTTAACGTGGAAGTGAATGGAATGACACCACTTTACCAGTGTTGCAAAAAGAATGGACAAAGGCATGCTAACTCAAAGCTAATTAGCAGCTACAAGGATTCCAAGGAACAGGAGGGCTGTGTACTGGGTAATAAATAAATAAAGTGGTAGTCCTCCCTCGAACTCTCTGGGTGCAAGGCCGAAGAGTAAATCATTTCCATGGAATTTGGGAGGACGAACAACAGGCAGAGCCCAGCGCTCTGAAATCTGTGATGCGACCGGCTGGCCGAGTTCCCGTTAGCCGGTAATTACCAGACTATGACCGGTAAAATACGCTGAAGCTATCAAATCTAAATCTCTCCGGTAGAGGCGCGGGAAGGTATTTTCAGTGGCGGTGCTGAGGTGCTGGACTCCAGTGAACACTATGCACTATAGAGCACGCACAAAAGCACTCTCCACACGCAAACACACAGTACACCCGCGACTGTTACAATGAAGGCTCGATAATCAGCTCACGGCATATAGGCAGGGGTAAAGTGCTATTTTTTACGAGTGGGGAGCGGACCTCACCTCCTCCTCCGGGGGGATGCTCCCCTGGGAAGATTTTTTTTAAATATTGAAGTTAAAAGCATCAATCTGGTGCACTTTGAGACATGGGCGTAGGAAGCATCCTGAATGTGGGGGGGATATTTTTAACGGGGGGTGTAGATAGATTTCCTGTATTCTGGTGCATTTTAACAGGTGGTTTGATACTTTGATGTGGCTATACTAGCATGAGGAAAATGATGGGTACATTTTGTAATTTCATCCAGTAGTAAAGAAAGGAAACATATTTGATTATTAATTCAGAGCCGTCTTTGAATTAATAAAAAGCAGTTTAAATGCCCATTTTTTTTGTACATTTATATACAACAATAAATATTTGTGAGTGCATTGAGAGATATTGTTGTGAAGAGTCATTTATATATAAATCGCAAAATACATTTGTGAGTCCTTCTGTGAGCATTTATTAATATTGAGACTGATCTGACTCCATACGGATGTTAAGTTCACCTAGGAATGGTATCGACTTAAATGTTCAAATGAATGTTGCTCTTCTGTCTATATTGGTCATATGATGCCCCTTGACTGAAATGCTTCCTGTTCAATATCCCCATTGATTTCCTTAACATTCTGGGATGAGAGTCCACATCACAATTTACTCTAAACTGTCATTTCCCTTTCATCACTCACCTCAGCAACGAACCTCTCTCCACTGTCCCTGTGTTCTGCCTCTGACTCATCGTGAAGTGATCATTATTTATTGAGCAGTATACTCTTTTACATTGAACCATAACAAGTCATACTGAATGTAAATACAACTGACTCTAAAGTAAGTCCCAGTCTGTGACATTGGACATTTTGAAGACTCAAAGTCCCAAGCAGTAGGTAGAATATTAGCTAGTCTATGTAATGTGCGGAGAAAATAAACAGTTGACTGGATACTGGGATGGAAATGGCCTATCAGCACTCAGTAAAACATAAACACACACAAAAAGCTTCTGAATTATAAGAAGTATAATTAAAACATAATGCAAATTACCATTTTGAGAGAGAGTACCGAAGTTAAAGAAGAAAATAATCTCTTATTGAACTGAGGCTCCAGTAAAACACACTGACTGCGGCTCTACATGGACATCAGTAAGCAGTTTATGAGTATTACCCCGGTTATGATCATATTGGGGATATGGTGTTTCCATGAGCACAGAGTGCACCTGCCCATTGCCTGGTCAAGTTAGATGCTGCGTATCACAGCGCATTGAGATTTGTGACAAACTGTAAAGCATTAACCCATCACTGTACCCTGTATGCAATGGCTGGTTTGCCTTCGCTAACTGTACGGAGGCTCAGTCACTGGTACATTTTTATATACAAAGCCATGTTAGGGAAACTTCCATCCTACATCTGCTCCCTGATCTCGAATTGTAAGTGGCTACTGCCTGAGATCGCATGCTGTGGTTTTATTAAATGTGCCAACTGCTAGGACTGTCTTAGGGAAGAAAGCTTTTAGATGCGCAGCTCCTCTGTCTTGGAATAGTCTGCAAATGAAATGGAAACTGAGCAATCTGGTGCCACTAAATGTTTTTAAAGCTCGGTTGGATGCTACTCAATCGGAAATTGTTGGTACCTTCTCATGTGGATAGTTATGCAAATTGTAATCCCTGTAATGATGCTGTAAGATGTCCTTTTTGTTGTTCTGTTTATGTTTTTATGTTTTTATGTGGAACCTACTTGAGCAGGGGGGTATACTACGAAGCAGGATTTTCGCTTAGCCGGCTAAATTCAGGGGAAACTCCGGCTTTCCGGTCCTACGAAGCTGGTTCTCTTTTTAGCAGGCTAGATCTCCATGGTAACTTATGCTGAGCGGCTAACCTGGTCGGGACCAGGTTATGTTGCAGGCTAAGAGCTCAACTCAGTGAAAGCACCGCCTGCTGACCAATCAGAGCTCAGTGTGCGGAGTTTAAAGCGATCAAGTCATATTACAGGAGAAAGGAAATACAGAAAAACTGCCATTGCAGGAAAGACAGCCGGCAAAAATCACCGACTGTGTGAACGTGAAAATGAATAGAATATCACCTCCCATCTTCAGAGCAATCTGACTATTATAACATTAGCGTTAAGAAAGCTTACTTAAATATCTGCCACAACATAAGTACACTGAGTGCAGACGATGTGTCCCATTATCATTCATATCACATCATATCACATCATAATGTATCATATATCTCCTTATCTGAGTCAGCTTCTTGAGCCGTATCTGGCCGTGCAACACTCACAGTGTCACATACTGTATGCAGAAGTATTATTTTAAGCAACACATTAAGTTGACGAAACACTCGAGACAAATGTAATTAAAGTCAGATCGTGTTTTAGACGGGGCAGTGATATCATAAACCTGTTAATGTACGCATTCAAACACTTTTTCTTTTGCCAGCTGTATTCACCTTGCAGGTGCAGCTATGTGGCTTTTATCCTGGATAAAGTGTTTAAGACATGGATGTTTAAAGTTTAACTTCTTCATATTTTACTAGTATTAAAGTTCACTTTTCATTCAGGAAGTATGACGCTGCGCTGTCAGTGCGCTTCTCCATGTTTGTGATTGGTCGAATGCTCCAAATACCACCCCTTTCATGTGAACGCGCACCTAACTAGATAGGACACGGCTGGCTTGAGCGATCCACTTGATAACCAGCGTCGTAGTACAGTTTAGCGAGAGCGCGTATGTTTTGGATTAGGCCAACCGGCTAACTCAAACATATCCAGGTTAGGTTGAACCAACTTCGTAG